CCTGACCTGCAAGGAATCCAGAAATGTCAATTATATTATCCTAACTTTAGTCTGAGTTATCATTTATTACTAAAAATGTAAAGATACTGTACTGTTTTCTCCCAAACATTTCTCTGGCAGGGAGGGTTGGGACCGACCGACCCAGCTGGCGTGAGTGTGAGGAGGGTGGGAGAAAAGGTGGGGTACCTTGATTGACAGATAGTGTCGTGAAGAATTTTTTTTTTTTATTAACTGAAGATATTTGTTTCAGCTCATAAAATTCATACAAATTACTCAGCCAGAATATAATTTACATTGCTGGAATTCTTACAATATGATGATCATTTTGAATATAAATATCATGGATTTTGCATTAGACATACAAATTTTACATCTAATGTAATAATTTGGTTTACACAAAGCAAATATTTTATCTTTTGTGCCAAATATATGAAGTTTACATTCAAAATATTCCCTGACCTGCAAGGAATCCAGAAATGTCAATTATATTATCCTAACTTTAGTCTGAGGTATTATTTATTACTAAACTTTAAAATCTAGTGTTTTCACCCAAACATTTCTCAGAGAGGTAGGAGCCAGTGAACTGGGAAGAGGGGAGGGGGTGAGTTGAGTCCATTATTTGAATGGACATTAACCTGGCGACTGTATTTCTCTTAAATATTAATTGTGTGTGCATACCATCATAAAATTAAGATGTTATTTTTACTACAACATAGGTATTGTGTCAGAAAAAGTGGAGTTTGGGGCTCGGGCCAGTCTCTATTGGAATTAATCACATATGTTCTGTTGTTCACTTTACGCGGTTTTCACTTTCCGCGGTACCCCGTGGGTTCAATTGACCGCGTAAATCGGGGTACTACTGTACTAAGTTTGTATTGGTACTCACCAATGGGCGGAGGTGGTAGAGCGAGTGTGTGGTGGGTAGTGGAGCAGAAGAGGAGGAGTATGGTGGGAGCAAAGGAGGAGGATGGGAGCGGAGGAGGGCGGCAGAGGAGGAGGTGGGTGGTGAGTCACCATGAGAGCATAGCGCGGCCAGACGAGAGAGGGTGATACACCGTAAAATGTAGTCTGTAACGACGCAAAACGACATACAGTACAGTAGTATTGGATCACCGGGACGTTAAACAAATTTTTGGTCTTTTAAAGTTTAGCAACATAGTACCGAAACAACGTTAAGCAGGACGACGTTAAGAGCGGCCTTACTGTAGTTGTATTGTAGTGTAGTATTACTGGAAAATAATGCTATGATTATGTTATAAATGTATTTAATTGTCAAATTATTATTATTTTATTCATTACTTGCTCTACCAAACACAAAGACAGCCAGACAGCCTGGCGACCAACTGTGTGTGTGTGTTGCCAAGCACTTTTTATGAAAAAAAAATGCAAATAAAATATTCTAAATGAATTATTTATAGCAAATAAGTTTCATGATCAGTAAATATATGCATTATTGGCCATCTCGGACACAAAGGCGAGCTACATATAGCTGGTAAGAGCGAAGGTGACCACGAGGTCAACTGTCAAAACAACACTGTCCCCTTATATCCCTCCCCCCTCCACCACTGCCAGGGAAGTTTATAGAGGGCTAATATATAGGTTTTTTTTTTACTTGTTTTTTAATTGTTTTATCATTTAAAAAGGTTAAAAAAAATTTGGAAAAGTTTTGATATTTCTCGATTTACCCCTGCATGGGGGGGGGGGGTACTGCCAGCGACACTCTAACCCAGGGCTTAAGGGTTAAAACCCTCTAGTTTTCCTGATAAAGATACTACACGCTCTAGAAGCAGGAGATGGAGAATGATGTTAACATGGTGATGGAGCTAGGACAAACAGCTGGCTGCTGCCCTTTGTAACAAAAGACCAGGAATTTAATAATATGCAATAACCCATCTGGGGTTGAGTGTGGAATTCTTTTTTGTGGTAAATTTTACTATTGTATGATATTATATCAACTCAGCACCAAATGAACCTAAATAATATGGCTATTATCATGAAATTGCATGAAGAAGTGTTTAAGGAGTCCTGGGGGAGGGAGCCACCCACACCACTCTTAACTCCTGCCTGCTGCACCCAGATATAATCTCACTTCCCAATTTTTTCTTTATTCATTAGGCACACGACCACATTGAAATTACTTTTCCACAAATTCTACCAGTACTTACATATAATACTTACTGTATAGTAAAAAAACATTCATATCAGTGAAAACAGATGTCAACAACACTCATGTCTGATTTTCTTGAAAGACCATATAAGCAGGGTTTTGTCCAAAACCCACACCCCCTAGATCCCTTTTTTTTGGACTTTCACATTTTACTGATTAGGATCTGCCCCAATTAATCCAGTGTGTCGAGTTACAACTGTACAGTAAAGCCTCGGATAACAACGATTCGTCCAACAACTTTTCGTATTTGAAATCCTAGATAATTTAGGACCCAATTCAGTTAACATCCTTATTTCATTCGTATTTAAAACCCTAGATAATTTAGGACCCAATTCAGTTTACTGTACATCCTTATTTCATTCATATTTACGACCAAAATTTCATAAAAATAAATTAAAATTACATTGTCATATAAATAATAACTAAATCCCAATATATATTATAAAAAAAAAATTACAAAAAAAGGAAGAGCGCCTTGAGCAACGAAGCTGCCTTGCTAATGAGTGGTAAACAACACTCTGAGCTTGGCGGGCCTTTTGTTTTCAAAAAATCTGGAACAAGAACTGGAGAAAAACTTTCTCAGGTTTCTTACAGCATTTTTGCATCCCTATTCAACATGAGCAAGAGAGCAAGTGATGGTAGTGTTGTTTCAAAAGCTAACAGAAAGTGTCTAAGCACATTCCCAAAATGTTTCTGGGTGCTGGGGAAAGTTTTCCTAAAGTCAAAACTGCACATCTTATCTCAACTCTAATGATCCTGAATAGATTCTCTACAAGACTGTTTTAATAAAAGATCCGTAAACAAAATATATTGACACCATTTAATGATAAAGAGTCCATTCTTTTAAAAAAATTACAATAAAAAATTTAAGAAATGTTGATACCGGAGTCAATACCACTGACAACACTAAGGAATGACTCCACACTACAGAATACCACCAACAACACTGAGGAATGACTCAACACTACAGAATACCACCAACACTGAGGAGTGACTCAACACTACAGAATACCACCAACAACACTGAGGCATGACTCCTACAGAATACCACCAACACTGAGGAATGACTCCACACTACAGAATACCACCAACACTGTGAGGCATGACTCCACATTACAGAATACCACCAACACTGTGAGGCATGACTCCACATTACAGAATACCACCAACACTGTGAGGCATGACTCCACACTACAGAATACCACCAACACTGTGAGGCATGACTTCACACTACAGAATACCACTACACTGTGAGGCACGACTCCACACTACATAATACCACCAACACTGTGAGGCATGACTCCACACTACAGAATACCACCAGCAACACTGAGGAATGACTCAACACTACAGAATACCACCAACAACATTGAGGAATGACTCCACACTACAGAATACCACCAACACTGTGAGGCATGACTCCACACTACAGAATGCCACCACAACACTGAGGCATGACTCCACACTACAGAATACCACCAACAACACTGAGTACTTTCAATGTTTATCCTGTTTTAAAAGTTGATGAATCCCAAAAAGTGCAACTGGAAGCTGAGTGGGTAAGATTATTACTTTTTATGGCCGAGTATAGTTTGAAGCCTATGAGCTACTGAAGCAAAGTTAAACTTAGTTTATTGAAGTTGATGCCTTACTAGATCTTGAGTCAACTACCGATTCATGTAAAATAAATATTTATTGATAGGGATCTCACAAGTCAACCATTATAACAAAAAAGTTCATAAAAGGGCTCTCTATCACATAGTATATACATGAACTATACTGTACTATTCTATGTTACTTCAGTTACATAATACAGTGGTCCTTCGGTTAACGAACACAATTCGTTGCACAGAGTCATTCGTTAACCGAAAATTTCGTTAACCGAATCTATTATTTCAATGGTATTGTGTAATTAGTTCCAACTCACAGAAAAATTACATACAAAGTACTGTATACCAGTAATAGAATTAACAAAACATTAAATATAAACTAAATACAGTACTGTACTGTACAGTATACTGTACGATAATAAATAAAAAACAATGGAATACTGTAATTCAACTTACTTTGAGGTGTGTATGTTGTATTACCGGCAGCTTTGTTTACATATCAAGCAACTGATAGTAGAGGTAGTCGATGATAACGCCATATTCGCTACAGACTGCATTGGTTCTAATGCCTTCTTCATGTTTCATAATAATTTCTGCACTGTATATTATCAATAGGTTAACTAAATTTTAGAATGACCAATAATTTTAGTGTAAAAATGCAAAAATATTCAAGAGACCAACTAAATCGATGTTTAATCCACTGTAAGCAAAGTTAAACTGAGAAGGGTTGTTGGGTGATTCAATCAGCTGATGGGCACACAAAAACTGTTCCCTGTACTGTCTATATTATCAATATATTAACTAAATTTCAGAATGACCAATAATTTTAATATAAAAAAATGCAGAAATATTCAAGTGACCAACTTTCTTGATATTTACTTCACTGGAAACGAATGTAAACATAGAACCAATTACTGTATTAGCGGACTAGCCGATCAGCTGATGCGCACAACAAAACGTGGTTGTCGTAAGTATTTTGTTAATCAAAGTTTTGTTTGTTAATGAAACTGAAAATCCTTATGGGAACTAATTCGTTAACCGAAATTTCGTTAATCGAACCGTTCGTTAACCGAGGGACCACTGTACATTATAATTATGATCCATACAGTACAGGTATATGCCATATATATCACAGTAATTACTGCATTTAGCTAAGAATTAATGAGGACATCTAGTTCAGAAACCTCAAATTTTGTGGTAGAAACGAACAAAATTTTGTGTACCTCTGTCAACCAGTCTAACAAAATTGCCCTCATTCGTGGTTGTAGTGAAGGATGTTGAGTGAGGTAGTCTGGACGTCGAGGGTAGAGGCGGTCCTTCCGGCACATGAGCGCCCATACTTGTCCTTGATCTGCCCAACTCAATTTTGGCAATGGTAGCTTTCTCGTGGATTGTGGCGTTGGGATGCACGTCAAGCCCCGAAACCTAAAATAAATTGATAACAGTGAACTCACTCCAACCTGAATTTCCTAAAAATTTAAAGTACTGTAATACTGATAAAAGCTTGAGTATATATTCACTTTAAACATCTTGTTTACATGAATATTTACAACTTCAATGGAAGGCACATAACTGATAACTAAGTAACTACACAATAGACATACTTGTTCCATGCATCAGGAACTGGGTTGTCTGGAGTTACTGACCGCTCCCTCTCAACGTTGAGGCTTGATGTCACATCACCCAATGGCTGATGCAGCTGATGCAAAAATAAAACACTTTACAATATACGTTCTTGGAAACGTGACGTTAACCAAAATGGACGTTCTCCGGTCATCACCTAAACTTTGTATTTATACTTACGTGTATGTGGAATACTATATACGTACATATACACTTTTACTCTTAAATCACTACTGTAATGTGATACAGATGATTAATTTTTATCTCTTGTGCAAAATACATGACGTTTATATTAAAATTATTCCCTGTTTTACAAGGATTCCAGCAACGCTCGGCAGATGGGGGAGAGGGAGGGAGGGAGCAAGAGAGCGAGGGGGCATGGGGGGAGGGGAGGTAGTACGTTTGACAGTTGGCACTGGCCCAGGTCTAACGTGTGTATATTTATCAGCTCTTAAGTGACTAAGGTTCTCTCTTATAAAAAGCCAGTGCAATGACCTGGGTGAATATAATTTACATTGCTGGGATTCTTGTAAGATACTGATTAATTTGAATATAAACATGCTATAATTTGCACTAGACATAACAATTTTAGTACCGGAATCAAATTAGTACATGTGCACTCCAGCTTTGCACTAAGGTCACTTATTTCTTTTATGTTTCTTTTAGTATGGTGTGTGCATGTAAATGGATGAAAATAAATGAAGAAATTTATGTACATCTACCCAAAAATACAGTTTAAAAACTTTATATTATAAAATGTACTACAGTATTGTACACTAATGTACAACAATTTTTATATCTTGAGCAAAACATATGACGTTTATATTCAAATTATTGGCTGTCTTGCAAGGATTCCAGCAATGCAAATTATAATCTCCTAACTTTAGTCTGAGATATTATATATAATAAACACCTTAAAGCATAAAGTTATCACCAATGTTTTGTCTGGGAACACAAGGAGGGAGGTAGACAGCGAGCATGGGGGGGGGGGTGGGGGGAGGTGAGGTGACAGTGTCTGGTGTTTGTTTATTTATTTGAGATAAGATTTGACAATTGGCGCTGAAGGTCTGCATGTTTATTTATCAATACTTAAGAGTGACTAAGCTCTTCTCATAATTTGCCACCCAAACGACCAGGGTGAATATAACTTATATTGCTGGGATTCTTGTAAGATAGTGATTTATTTGAATACCTGTATAAACAATCTATATTTGCAATAGACATAACAATTTAAGTACCATAATAATTTAGTACATGTACAGTACAGGTTTGTTCCATTGTTAACCGAGGGACCACTGTATTGCAGTGTACTTGTACTGTACAATATTGACTAAATTCACTAGATAACGTACACAACTAATGGTTAGTAAAACTTGTCAAGTAAGTGAGTGTCAAGTCTGTCAGTATGAGTAGCATGTGTGAGTGCTTGTGACACTGTCAGTATGAGTGGCACGTGTGAGTGCTTGTGTTCCCCATCATAGGAGTCAGTTTTCTCTCGCTTCAGGACGCCTGAGTCCGTTTTCTCTTAATCTTAGAGTGCAGTGCACCAGAGACTTCGTTATTCCTTAGTAATGACACAGAATTTGAAATTGCAACCGCAATTGCAATTGGGGTTGCTATTGTTGAGGCAACTAGATATGTCTGATTACAGCAAATGTGTTATTGTCAATTTGTAGGTGAAAGATTTTATCCTCAATAGATGTAGGTTAACATTACACCTGTAGGCAAATGCTCACGAAAGCCTAAGAAAGGATATTCCTTTAACACATAATATCTGGCCAGTATGGGAAGGATCATCGTGTCTCTGTCAGTGGGTCGTGGAGTGGTGGTCCAGCAGAAGTCACGGAAGTTTTTTTTGGGGGGGCCACGGACATATATGCGATCGGACGTTGTTCGAATGGACGTAAACCGACGCATGACTGTATGTATGTATGTACAGGTTGTACCCCTCTAGTCCGGCAACCTCGGGATCTGACCGGTGCCGGACCATGGAAATTGCCGGACCATGGAAATTCACCCTTTTCCTGGATAGATAGTGACTTGTGCTTATGCTTGGAAGCACTAGCACCACTTTCTCTGCATCATGGTCTCTTTGAAGACATATTGAAGGGTTAAATGTCGTACAGTAGCTTCTCAAATTTCGTGAGTTTTTAATTCAACTTATTTTATTGGAACACACAAAAAAAAATAAATAAAAATTTTGAGGGCGGAAACTTGAATTTTGACGGGTTTGAACGGCCCGCCAACGTGCAGACGACGTGCATAATCGTGTAAACAGCGTCATTTCGCTTATGTACAAAAGATTCATTATTGTTTCTTACTGAATGTCTTTTTTATTGAATTAATGTTTATGTGTGCAAAATGAGCAATACAATTCATTAATAATATATATATATAATCCGTAGAATATTAAAACACACGAGGAAATGACACAGCATTGTTTTCGTTGATTACAAAACCAGTGACTGACTGGTTCTACATATAAAACTGAAGAAAATAAGACCTTGGTTGTGTAGCTGTAGTAAAATTAATATGGTTGTTTTAAGTAATGTTATTTAATGTTAATAAATGGAACAATAGAAGTAGCTGACGATAATGGTAAAGAAAAAAGAGAGATTGCGTATGTAAGTGCGCACACGTGAAAACATATCGTCATTACTTTACATAAGAATATGAAAGCAACACTAATTTACTGTTCATATATATTTTAATTAATGTTTCTGAATTTGTTTTTATTGAATTAATGTTTGTGTGTGCAAAATTAACAATGCAATTTATTAATAATATGTGGAATATTAAAACATGAGGAGACGAGACGGCTGCCGGCATTGTTTATGTTAAAGCTTACAAAAGCAGTGACTGATTGGTTCTACATATAAAACTGAAGAAAATAAGACCCTGATTGTAGCTGTAGTAAAATTAATGTAAAAAAATTAATATGGTTGTTTGAAGTACCTGTAATGTTATTTAATGTTAATAAATGGAACAATATAAGTAGCTAACCATTAATGGTAAAAAAAAAAGTGAGACTGCGCGTATGTAAGTGCGCACATGTGAAAACATATCGTCATTACTCTACATAAGAATATGAAAGCAACACTTATTTACTGCTCATATATATTGAAGGGTTAAATGTTGTACTCTGTATAGACAAGCAGAGAGAGAGAGAGAGCAGCCGAACTGCCGGATGTAAACAAACCTTAATTTCCCGCGGCTTTGTTGTTTTTTTTAAGGGGATTAGCCCACCCGGGCATAGGTCACTGACCCACATTGGGGCCTGAGGGGCAAAAATTTAATACTCCTGTAATAATAATAATAATCAGATAAGTAAAAAAAAAAAAAAAAAGCTACCTATTGGACAAACTAAAATCGTTCCGGACCACAGAATGCGGACTAGAGAGGTACAACCTGTATGTATGTATATATGTACATGTATGTGTGTGTGTGTGTGTATATATATATATATATATATATATATATATATATATATATATATATATATATATATATATATATATATATATATATATATATATATATATATATATATATATATATATATATATATATATATATATATATATATATATATATATATATATATATATATATATATATATATATATATATATATATATATATATATATATACACTATACCTGTATATATATATATATATATGAGACAAACAGCCACAATTTATTAAATAATGTCCAGCGGAGTTGAGTAACAACCAGGATCTTTCTAAGATGGGACTGGGATATCACTGAGGCAACGCCTCACTCTGTAGTGTGCGAGATAAAGTACCATTTGTAGGAGAATGTAATAGGAAAAATAGAAAGAAATCTGCACACTTCTGCATTCTCATTACTGCAAGAATGCCACCAAAGGTTGCCCTACTCCCAACAATGGCTATGCCTCTGCTCCGTCTGATAATCCTTCCTATTTAATCATGCCACATTTTAATCCAAAACATATAAACAAAATGCAGTTTTACTTCATATTCATCATCACCAATCACACACCCATGTAGGTCAGGTTGGTTTGACTTTCGTCCCTACAAAGTTCCACAAGTAACCCCAAGGTGCCAATCATACATCATGACCCAAATTTTTACCCCAAAGATAGGCAGAAACATTTGTTGGGCCCAGAATTACACCCAATGGTCTGCATACCTACACCTTCTGGATTTATAAACAAACTTCGGTGTTGGTAGAAATAACACAGTACAGTAGAACGTCGATTTAAAGCGATTCAATTTAAGATTATTGATTTAAAGCGACACCTACAATTAAGGACAGTGTTTTAATTTAAAGAGAGTCAATCTGGCGCATCATATTTTCAAATTCGTGCCTATTGTTTCTCTGGGCACGCTACACTGTCCTATGGGCAAAGCTGTACTGTACATGTACTCAAAATAGTGTACCAAATGATTACTAAAAAAATTTTCTAGTGCAAACTATAGCATGATTATATTCAAATTAATCATATCTTATAAGAATTCCAGCAATGTAAATGATATTCTCCCGGTCACTTCTGTGACATTTTATAAACAAAAAACAAAAACTCAATCTAAAGAACATAAATAAACAAATATATACTTCACTAGACCTTTGGCACCAACTGTCAAACATGTCACTGTCACCTTCCCCCCTCCCCTCTTCCCAGCCAGGGTTGGGTGGTTATGGGCTTACAGTTTTCATCTTATATAATATCACAGACTAAAGTTAGGAGAATATAATTTGCAATGCTAGAATCCTTGCAAGACAGTGAATAACTTGAATATAAACGTCATATTATTTTTTTTTTATGGGAATTAGCCCACCTGGGCACACAACGGGGCCTGGAGGGTGGAAAAAAAAATAACAGAAAGAAATTGAAAACAGAGAAGAAAAAGTTTATACAGTCAACCCTCACTTTACGCGGTCCCACATTCCGCGTTTCCACGTTTACGCGGTGCCCTGCCAGAACCCAGGATGCTCACATTCCGCGGTGGGTGTACCCCTTTACACGGTGAAGTATAATTTTTTTATTTAGCTCATAAAATTCATACAAATTATCCGGCCAGAATATAATTTACATTGCTGGAATTCTTACAATTTGATGATCATTTTGAATATAAACATCATAGATTTTGCATTAGACATACAAATTTTAGATATAATGTTTACTCTTGAGTAAATATGTTATTTTTTGTGCAAAATATATGATATTTATATTCAAAATATTCCTGGTCTTACAAGGAATCCAGCAATGTCAATTATATTATCCTAACTTTAGTCTGATTTATTATTTATTACTAAAAAGGTAAACAGTCTGGTATTCCCACACATTTATCTAGTAGGGACGTTGGTGGGGGGTGGGGGGGAGGGAGGGAGGGACCGGCGACCGACCATCTGTTACCATGTGAAGAATATTTTTTTTTTTATTAACTGAAGATTTTTATTTTAGCTCATAAAATTCATACAAATTACCAGGCCAGAATATAATTTACATTGCTGGAATTCTTACAATTTGATGATCATTTTGAATATAAACATCATATATTTTGCATTAGACATAAAATTTTTAGATAAAATGTTCACTCTGAGTAAGTATGTTATCTTTTGTGCAAAATATATGAAGTTTATATTCAAAATATTCCTGGTCTTACAAGGAATCCAGCAATGTCAATTATATTATCCTAACTTTAATCTGAGGTATTATTTAATACAAAATGTTAAAATTTATTTTTTTCACCCACTCTTCTCTTGAAGGGAGGATTGGTGGGGGGTGGGGGGGAGGGTTGGGACTGACCGCAGGGTTGGAAGAGGGGGGAGGCAAGGTGGGGTACTTTGATTGACAGATAGTGTTGTCAAGAATATTTTTTTTTTTATTAACTGAAGATATTTGTTTTAGCTCATAAAATTCATACAAATTACCCAGCCAGAATATAATTTACATTGCTGGAATTCTTACAATTTGGTGATCATTTTGAATATAAACATCATATATTTTGCATTAGACATACAAATTTTAGATAAAATGTTTAATCTGAGTAAATATGTTATCTTTTGTGAAAAATATATGACATTTATATTCAAAATATTCCTGGTCTTACAAGGAATCCAGCAATGTCAATTATATTATCCTAACTTTAGTTTGAGGTTATTATTTATTACTATACCTGGTTTTCCCCCAAAAATTTCTCAGAGGGAAGAGCCAGCAGTGTAGTGTGAGAAGAGGGGGAGGGAGTCGTGTCCATTATTTAAATGGACATTAACTTGGCGACTGTTTTTCTCTATTTCTCTTAAGTATTAATTGTGTGCATGTACCATCATAAAATTAAGATGTTATTTTTACTAGAACATAGGTATTGTGTTGGAAAAAGTGGAGTTTGGGGGTCAGCTGGTCTCTATTTCATTTAATCCCATATGTTATGTTATTCACTTTACGCGTTTCTCACTTTCCGCGGTACCCCGTGGGTTACATTAACCGCGTAAAGTGAGGGTTGACTGTACTGCATTAATCTACACCACAAAGATGCCGGAAAATTAGCTTTTTAAAATGAGACAGATTGTATAAGTATGGAAACACAGAAGAAGGCAGAGCATGCCACAGTTTGGCTGTGTGAGAAAAGAAGGAGGTACTATAATGGGTTATTCTCGTGTGACCAACATCCACAGAGAAACGGTGGGCACCGCGGGCAAGACGTGTGTTACGAGCCCACGGCCTTGCTGGCGGTACACAGGATGCCAAATCCACCGAACATTGCCCGTTAAAGTACCTGTAAAAGAGAGAGAATGAAGCAATATTGCCGCGAAGAGAAAGGGAAGAGAGATTGTCGACTAAAGGAGGAGAGTTAATAAGACGAAATGCCTTTGATTCCATCCTATCTAACAGTTGGACAGAAGAAGAGCCACCCCAGATATGAGAGCAGTACTCCATGTTAGGACGAATGAATCCCTTATATACTAAATTATTCTATTGAAACAACACTTCGATTTAGTGCGAATTCGGTTTAAAGCGACTTCTCTTGGAAAGTATGTCGTGTTATATCGACATTCTACTGTACATAATAAAAATGAAAAGATTCCCTTGTTGCTGTATCTGCTTGTGTAATAAAAATGTTACAGTCCTTAAGTCACACTAAGCAATAGCCTCAGTCAGACTCATCACTAACTTTCTAGCAGACTTGAACCAATTTTTCCATCTTTATCAGCAGTTTTACTTTCTGATAACTTTCTCATTATACTACATTCCCTCTCCAAGCACAAACTTCATAAGAATAAATAATACAAATCTGCAGTAGATGTACAAATACTTTTTGAACAGATGGAAAATAAAAATCTGCAATGCAATATAATGATGAAAAATCAAACTGTGCAGAAGTGTAAGTTTATATTTGGTTCAAAATCAGTCTTCATTTCTGTAAGTAATGGCCCAACTGAATATTTTGTAGTGTGTGTGTGTGTGTGCTGCATATACATTTCCATGCAAGAAACAAACATACATACATACCATCTCTGAGTGTTCCACACGGGCCTGCTTTACTTGTCGTTCGTCTTCTTCATTCTCAGAACTCTTTCTTTTTCTTGTTCTTAAGATAGCTGGTTTAGTTCTTGTTGATAATGAACCATTTTTCAGTCTGAAAAAACAATTGACTTGGATAAACTCCTACAAAACCCATGAATAAACTTGACACACCTTTAACATGGAGAAATTACCTGTACCCTGTCTGATATTGAACTGGATATGGACAATAAACATACTGTATAGAGATATGAATTTACATTAGATCAGCCTCTTATCATAGAGAGTATTCTCTCCCCATGGTAGAACCTGTGGGCAGTTGCCAGAAACCACCACCATGACTACCTTAACTTCACCACATCCTGTATGTTAACATGACTTATTAGCACTACAGTACATGTGATATAAAGTAGAAATACAATACAGGATGTACAGAAGTACTATAATGGATAATGAAAAGTATCCTCAGCATCACAGGCAATAAGTACTGTACTTGCACATCATGCCTCTAGCTCTGGGAACAATGTCACTCAAGTTATGTACTTTGCTGGGACCATATTAAAAAATTATACTGTACAGTATATTTTGTAATACAGTACAGTACTGAAAATAAAAATATTCACGTACAAAGTCTTGCCTTGGGGTTGGGCACAAACAACATCGATTTGAATAGAGAACACAATTCAGTGTTATTGCTATCTTGTATAACAGCTAGGTCATATGGGATTATGTTCTCTCAATATTTCAACAGGATTGTCTGAAAATTAGAAACATTGAGCAAGTGAATAAAAATTGAAGTGAGGTAGAGAGTGAGTCCACACAAAGTAACCGGCCGAACCGAGCTCAACTTTTCCTATTGATTTGTCCTTGCGCTAAAGTGTGTGTACATGTGGAGGTGAGATTTAATTTTTCACCTCCCTAGACAACAAATATTTCTGCCCCTTATAAAGCCTTTATTCTTTCTCCTTTTAAACCAATAAAATGGCTTCACAGCACAATGACAGGAAAAAACAGTAATCCTTTTTCATCCTCGAGTTCACTAAATTTTGATAAATTGAACACTCTGTGGCTCGTTTATACTTATAGGGAAATAGTATAAAAAAATAAATAAATAAAAACTGAGATACATACTGTATTCCAAATTTTCACAAAATAGTCTCAGGCCCATCAACCCACAATAGGCCTAATGTAATCTGTATCTATGGTATCTGGTTGTCCTCCACTAGGATGTCTACATCGTCTTGGACACAAATGTCTACATTGTCTTGGACACAATCTGTCCACCTCTTTCGAAGTCTTCTGTCATGAACTTATTCTACCAGTGCTAACTCTGGGACTCTGGTTTCATCCATGCAGGCAATTATAGTCCACCAATCATACCCTTTGTGCTTTTATCACCTTTGTTATTAGAGGTTGTCCAGTAAATTGTCTCATTATGGTGTCGTCTCTATTCATTGGTGCATTAGTCCATCGATTCTTCTTAGAACACGGTTCTCAAATACAAGTAATTTTTGCTCCAATCATAATACAGTACAGTACAGTACTGTATTGTATTCATAAAAATAGGAAAACAGAATATTGCAAATTAGAACAAATGTTGGCAAATGCTGGTCCAGTCTCCTAGTTAATCATCTGTGATTGTTTTATATTAACACAAAGTCCTGTATATTTTGTGTGTGTGTGTGTGTGTGTGTGTGTGTGTGTGTGTGTGTGTGTGTGTGTGTGTGTGTGTGTGTGTCCATCCCTATTTCATCACAACAGCAAGTGGCATTGGTGATGGTACAAGGTAGAGATGAGAGCATAAGCATACTGTACAAACATTGCTGATATACTGGAAATAACAAAAACACCTCTTAACCCAAATTCTGAATTACCACGTGACTCACCCTAAGACCAGATGCCCCTTCACTCCCTATACCTCAACTATGGGAAGTATAAACACGATAGTTCATATGATTTTTATCTTTTTGTATACTGTATACTGTAAATACAGTACAGAAAGTCCCTTCTCAACAGGAGATAGTCCTAAAAATCCTCATGCTGTGCAAATTTGTGCTATATGACCCCCAAGGCATTGAAAACCAAGTACAATGTGAGAGATATGTGTCGGAGGGAGACCAAGTGTGAGAGGTAAGGTATCAGAGTGCAGGCACAAAACATACACCAAAATATTCCTTAAAGCACCACTTTTTTCTCATGTCTACACTAATTTTATTATCTCATAACACTTTTTAATAAATTGCACCTCACCTTGGGTCTCAACAACTGTTTCCTGGACTGCAGTTGTTCAGACTCAGAGGTGACTAATGGAGCAATAGAACTCATGGGTGTCATGAATCATGTGTGTAGATGATGCTGGCCTGTGTTGAGATGAAGCATGGCATCACTAGCCCATGCTGGCATCTACTGAGGGCAGGGGAACTTTGCATTTTCATCAGCTGATATATTGTCTTAGTTTGATATTTATTAATCCTTTAAAACCATATTAAATGAAACATCAATTTTAATCAAAATTTCTCTAAGAAATGAATCATTAAAGTCATATTAAATGGTCTTCTTACTCTAGAGGTCACAGCCACAAGCTACCGTTTAAGTTAATACGCAAAAAAAACTCAGAAGTGTAACTTGTTGAGTAATAACCTGCCAGAGAATGTTGTGGCAGTAAGAGTTGTGAAATGTAGTACTGTACTGTACAGTAATAACCTACCAGATATTATTGTGGCAATAAATGAGGCTGGCAACCACAATATGGTCTCCTGAATTATGTACAGTACACCCTTCTCTACTCACTGCCACTGACTTTTCAGTGACTTCATTTTGACCCATCACTTAAGGTTTTAACAATGACACCAGTCATGTTGACACTGTCTGATTAAGTGTTTGTAGTTGGCCAACACCTGAGAAAGGTTCTTTTCCTCCCCATGTACACATATGATGAAGTGCAGCGGCTTAAAATCCTCACTATATGGCGTACTGTAGTTAACATTTCTTATTGTTAGATGTACAGTAGTGGGCAGTAGGCAGTATTTTCTGATCTGGTACACATCCCATTTTCCTCCATAAGGTAATATTTTCCAGAACCACACATTTGATGTCCACAGTGTGTTCTCCAGAAAAGTAACCCCTTCATAAATTGAGAACTTACTTTACTAATACTGTACCATGGAATTATTCAGTCTGGGTTAACAGCTTCCCTATACATTACTGTACTATAATGTTCAGTTCCCTGTACTATCAGAGGGGCAGTATGTGGAATCAAGTTCGTCACTTGTGTCCTCTACCAACACAGTTTCAGTAACTCTATGACACCAAGGCACCTATTATAGTGGGAAAACGGGACAAGTAGCCATAGGTGGGCACAGACATAAAATAATATAGAATGCGTAAGTCATGCAGTTTAACCACTCAGAAATAAAGTAAGGTATAGTACTGTATTCAGATTTCCCAAGGTAAAACTTCCATGGGCATCTAAGGCACAAACTATAAACTGATGGATGCTTAAACTCCAGAACACCATGAGTGGGATGAGCTTTATGAATGTACTACCGGTATTTAGCAGCAGCTTACCTATTACTTTACTAAGGAAACCCTCAGCTATCATCTTGGTTGAAGAAGTTTGCCAATTTTTGTTGTTTATGGAAATTTTTAAATAGGAAGTGGACAAACTCAAGGAAGTTTGGTATGGTACAGTGTATCAAGGCCCTTTTGTATGGGGAAGAGCACTTTGGAGGAGTTAAGTGTTGCTTTTTTTTTTTTGTATTGTACAGTATAATAATGTTAGAATGTATTGTGTACTTTCTTTTTCTACACTTTTACCCAACAATGAGTCAAACAACACCCACATTTTCGGGGTGAATTTTCATCTAAATTAGAATAAAGAAAAGAAAATTGCCAATGAAGAATTATATTACCACACATTATTTATTGGCCCTTAAAAAAGCAGATGAGAAGTTATTATAGAATTCAATGAATAAAGTTTCCCCAATTCTATGAAAAAAAATTACTCTTCATTGTCTAACATGCTTTCTATAGAAATAAAGTGCCAGGTATGAAAACCTCATTGAGTTTTGTATAGGAAAAGAAACAAAAATGTTTCAAACAGAACAGTATTTTAATTCTTAATGATAAAATCGCATAACTACAGTACCCCAAGAAATCATAATGCACACCCAAAGAGTTAGCAAAACCTATCTAAGGTTCTGCTGTCTGTCCTTTACAAATCAGAACAAAAAACCTTACCTTCTCTGGTTCTGAGACATGAGGCTTTGTGTGTGTTACTTGGTGATGTAAGTTTGGCAGTGGTGACAGGGCCTGAAAGGATAATGTGATACATTAAGTACAAAATATGTTAAACGTGCAGTATGTTCAGTAACTTTAACTGTGAGGTATTACCACGGCTTCTTGTACCAAATGCTGTATCAACACAGTCCCTGACTGTGTTGATAGAGGAGAAAATTCACTGGTTAATAAGAGTAATTTAAGAATTCATTATTATTTTGGAAGACAACAAAAATACTCAAGGAAGGAAGATATGTAAGATGAGTGGGATTTAATAGGCAGAACCATTATAATGGATAGCTATAAACAGGCTTAGTTTTGAGAAAAAATTTGATTTCCACCACAGCACAATGTCAAAAATTTATCTTATAAGAATCATTAATAAAAAAAAATATATATATTTTGAAGAGTTCTGCCATTTGTTATGGCAGCAGAGAGTATCTTTGGTATTCCTTTTTGAGGAGAATATCCAGTGGGATATCACAGTATTTCATTCAAGGTAAGCAGACCCTGCAGTAGCAGGATGTTAAGGAAGCAAACTGCTACGAGCGAGAATTCAATGGTTGGTTGCAGATTCGCAACGTGAACGCCTTTTATTTGTGACTTCATTTCTGCACACTTCTGCTCGCGTAGTTTTACCTCCCAAGAGCCAGGGACATTTATCTTATTTTCAACAAGAGTATCATCTTTAAGTGGCTCTTGGTGTTATGAGCACATGAGAGTAACTTCAAGTCCTTATGAACACACATGATACTCTTGACATCATTATGATCACTTGTAATTGACTTATTATCATTATTAGCACCAGTGAATCATATGGTCAGTAGGACCTGTGAACCACCTCTCATTATGAAGAGCATTTATGAGCTATTTAAAGTTATTATGAGCACTTGGCATCATATGTACACAAAGACAAACCTGTAGTCATAATGAACACTCAGCAGCCTTATGAGCACTTGTGTCACTTCATCGTCAGCAATTGCATGAAACAGTATATATAAGCAAATATAAGACACTAGGTGTTTAATAAGCTCTTGTGATACATGAGCAGTGATGGTACAGCGGGTGCCATTATGAGCAGTGATGGTACAGCGGGTGCCATTATGAGCAGTGGTGGTACAGGTGGTGTCATTATGAGCAGTGGTAGTACAGCTGGTGTCATTATGAGCAGTGAGAGTACAGCTGGTGTCATTATGAGCAGTGGTGGTACAGCTGGTGTCATTATGAGCAGTGGTGGTACAGCTGGTGTCATTATGAGCAGTGGTGGTACAGCTGGTGTCATTATGAGCAGTGGTGGTACAGCTGGTGAGCAGTAGTGGTACAGCTGGTGTCATTATGAGCAGTGGTGGTACAGCTGGTGTCATTATGAGCAGTGGTGGGTAGAGCTGGTGTCATTATGAGCAGTGGTGGTAGAGCTGGAGTCATTATGAGCAGTGGTGGTAGAGTGGTGTCATTAGCAGGTAGAGCTGGTGTCATTATGAGCAGTGGTGGTAGAGCTGGTGTCATTATGCAGTGGTGGTAGAGCCGGTGTCATTATGAGCAGTGGTGGTATGCTGGTGTCATTATATGGTGGTGGACAGCTGGTGTCATTATGAGCAGTGGCAGCTGGTGTCATTATGACAGTGGTGGTAGTCATTATGAGCAGTGGTGGTACAGCTGGTGTCATTATGAGCAGTGGTGGTAGAGCTGGTGTCATTATGAACAGTGGTGGTAGAGCTGGTGTCATTATCAGGTCACCAACAAGAGCTGGTGTCATTATGAGCAGGTAGAGCTGGTGTCATTATAACAGTGGTACAGCTGGTGTCATTATGAGCAGTGGTGGTAGAGCTGGTGTGTGAGCAGTGGTGGTACAGCTGGTGTCATTATGAGCAGTGGTGGTACAGGTGGTGTCATTATGAGCAGTGGTGGCAGAGCTGGTGTGGCAGTGGTGGTACAGGTGGTGTCATTATGAGCAGTGGTGGTAGAGCTGGTGTCATTATGAGCAGTGGTGGTACAGGTGGTGTCATTATGAGCAGCAGTGGTACAGGTGGTGTCATTATGAGCAGTGGTGGTACAGCTGGAGTCATTACAGTTGCTACACAGACAGGTGTTTTCACAGACAATGTGTTAGTACCGGGTGATTTTTTTTATTGAAGAACCCTCAATAATTTGTGCATTTTGCAAAAGTTGGTGTTTGGTGTGCTGTAAGTTGGCAAGGAATTACTGTATTAGCTCAATTTTCTTCTGAGAAACAGCAAACTCAGATGTTACATCAACATTATCCAAGAGTTTCTTGGGAACCTTATAGAAAACGAAATCAACCAAGGATGGTTTCAACAAGATGGTGCCATTAGTCACACTTCATGATACAGCATGCATGAGCTAAGGCTACTCCATGGTGACCATGTAGTGTCCAAGTCATTATGGCCACCTCGATCCCTAGAGCTTATGCTGCCAGATTTCTTGATGTGAGGATATTTGAAAGATATAGTGTATGCTACAAATCCAGGTGCCCTTGGTGAATTAAAAGCAATAATCAGTGACACAATCAGCAATATTCCCCAAGAAATGCTACACTGTCAGAGAGCATGCTGCCAAGAATAAATCTGTGCCAGCATCATGGTGGTGGACACTTTCAGCACTTCATTTAAGGTGTCAATTACGTGGATTATGTCACATCTTTCTGTAACATTAGGCTACATTTACGCAAAACATTAGATTCCTAACCGATATAGTTTTTAGCGTATAGGAATTTAGGCTTTTCAAATAAAAAAACACCCTGGTATATGAGCTCATAACTAAAGCTGAGGGGAAACAGCTCCTGTATCTTTTTTTTTAGGGAAAAAGATTTTATATGGGTGTCTGTATGTATGAGAATAAGTAGATATTTTTTGTTGTTTTGAGAGTTGAATATACTGTACTGTACTTGCAACTTTGCATGTAGGTACAATACCTATATTGAACTGTACACTGTATGCATTTTTTTCAATATCTAAGAGGCCACTTACTCTTAAGTAGAACATTGTGAGTCTAGGAGTGTGTCTGCATGGTTATGGACATTAATCATGAGGGGACAGCATAATACCAGCACTTGTCTGCCCCTTTTCATTTGCTTGGTGAAAACGTGTGCATTCTTATAAGGACTTCTTTCTATAGAATTTTTTTTTATTTTGAAATATAAGAGAAAAATATTCTACACTTTCTAACCATCATCAGTACATTATAAAGTGACTTTACCACTTTCAAGTTATTTTCTTTGAGACTTTACTTTCTGAACTATGATCCTAAGGTACAGTATTAACCTTTGTTGTTACGCACCAAAATAATATAACTTTGAATGTGATATAAGCATAAAAGTACAGACAACTCATTATGTGGGCACAAAGATCATTTTACCTGGGATGTAGGGGCAGATTATCCAACAAGATGGTGACACTCAATCCTCAGGCCTGTGATTTTTATAGACCCGTGTTGAATAAGAATTTAAAGTTTAACTTTATGGGACGTCGTTCGTATGGGCGGGAGTTTGTAAGTTGGACATTCATAAGTTAGGGACCCTCTGCTTCATTTTTTCCTGCACATTTTAAGTACAGGTAGTTCTGCTATAACGCGATAATTGTGTTCTTGTAAAATATCGTGTTATAGAAAATCGCGTAATAGAAATAACAGGGCTTATGGAGAAAATAGGGTTAGGTGCAGATTACTCGAAATCGAAAAAATTTAGTAGTTAGCCTAACACAAAGGATAGCACAGTCTAAATAAATGTTACATTCATATCTAATAATGAAATCATACAGTAAATTTAACACTTTACCTTGAAAAAATATGAATGTAACTTGATGGGGGAGAAGGGTGATTTTGAGGTTGATAACATCGAGCTTCTCTTCAAGTGTTATATCCTTTCTTTTACGATAATCACCGGGAATTCTATCATCAGAACGCTTTTTGGAGATATTCTTCTTTACCATATTCACAGTTAATACCACAATATTGGAGAAATAGTAAGCAAAAATCGCGTTATAGCAAACAAGCGTTCGCGTTATACAAATATTGTTCCGAATTCATAAATCGCGTTAGAGCAAATTCGCGTTATCAAAACACGCGTTATAGCAGAACTCACTGTACTGTATTTCTCTTGAATTTATGCTAATTTTTGTACTTTATTTGTTTTCCTCTCAGTGAAACTTATTCCTAACATACTGTACACCGGGTGTAGTACCAGAATCCTGGAGGATAGCGAATGTAATACAGTACATACTGACTTTCAAGAAGGGAGATAGATCACTGTCCTCTAGCTACTGTCCAATCAGTTTCATATCAATTGTAGGCAAATTGCTGGAAGCAATAATTTCAAGCTTTATTCGAAATCACCTGGAGAAGCACAAATTGATCAATGATTCCCAACATGGCTTCACAAACGGGCATTCATGTCTGACTAATTTCAGCTGTTTTCAAATCAGTGGACGAAGGGCACAGTTATGTGGTATACCTCGACTTTTGCAAAGCCTTTGACAGAGTACCCCACAAAAGACTAATACAAAAAGTGGAGGCTCATGGCATTGGAGGAGGTATTCTAAAATGGATTAGGGCGTGACTACAGGATAGAAAACAGCGAGAAAGCTTTAACGGCACTAAATCCAACTGGGGTAACGTCACCAAGGCTCAGTACTAGGACCATTATTATTTATTATATACATATTAGGTAAACGACATAGATATAGGCATAGACAGCAACATAAGTAAATTTGCTGCCGACACTAAAATGGGGCGTATAGGGCGAGGACTCCGCAAAACTACAGGAAGATCAAATCAAATTTTTCGAATGGTTTGAAAATTGGCAGATGAAATTTAATGTGGACAAATGTAAAGTACTTAGTCTAGGAGATGTAAACAGAGAAACCAGATATCAGATGAACAACGATGTTATAGAGAAATCCGACTGAGAAAGATTTAGGAGTAATGAGAAGTAGGAATCTTAAACTAAGTCAACAATGTGTATTTGCTCAAAACAAGGCTAACAAAGTACTGTACTGTACTGTACTTGGGTTCATACA